GAGCCCGATGTGGGACTCGATCCCGGGACTCCAGGATCATGACCTGAGCCGAAGGCAGTCGCTTAACCGACTGAGCCACCCAGGCGCCCCAAGATTCCCCACTTTTTAGTTATATGTGCTATAATTCACAATAACGTGGTGGGGTAAGATGGGTACTGTAGATACGGTAATCCTATGAGCTCAAATACATTTAGCCACAAAATAATTTTTGACTTTTTTCATTCTTTAGTTCCCTGAAATTTTCCTACTTCTTGGCATCTCATCAATGTTCTCCTTCTCTTTTCACTGGGCAAGCTGACATGTAGCCACGAACCTAGCATAAAGAGGAGAAATTTTCGTATTTTGTTTCTCAGACTGGAAATGAGCCTCTCCAGGGACATTTTAGGTTTCCAACAGCTCAGAATCAACTGTACCTTTCCCAGACTTCCTCTACACAAACCAGCCATGCCTGAGGGAGAAAGCAAGCATTTATAAGGAACACAGCCAAACCTCACCCAATTTCTCTTTTCAGCACCCTAATTAAAAAGGCTAAATGGGGTGGCTCCTTCACTCTCAGGAAAATCATCTCTGAAGTGGCACTGAAACCTTTCAACAAAGGGCCATTTATACAGCACAACAGAACCTTGATCTCTGCAATGCTTAAAAAAAATACATTCCCATTCCCGAGGAAATTAACTTGCCAGGTTCGGTTTCAAGGGACTAACCTTCCTTATTTTGCTCCTGTATAATAAAAAGAAACCCAAGAAAATTATTTTTTTCTTTATTATTAAAAATATTTTTTATTGAATGAAGCTGATCAATTCTCTTAGAAGGGACAGAAATGCACATAGTATGTTCTTTAAAAAATTAAATTACAAGTTAAAAGGGAAGTGTTCTGGTTTTTAATGATTAAAAAAATGCATATAAAACTTGATCTTCCAGCAAGCTTTTGTTTGTGTAAGTAGATGGGACTTACTACAGACCCAGATGAGATGGGGCTCTGTTCAGCTTTGGGACAGAAGGACCTCAATTGTCAGTTAACTGAGGAGATACTTTCCGGTTAAAAATATTTTGTATCATATCATTTTATGTCTATTTTACACAGCAAAGTTCAGGGCTAAAGCCACAAAGAAGAGACTACTACTTCTCCTGTATCTGCAGCTGACTCTTGAGAAGCTGTTGGTTATAATTTAAATGTATGCACAGGTTTTTAAACAATCAGATAGTTAAAAACAGCATTTTACATGCAGGGATTCTCTATTGGATGTCCACACTTTTAAAGAGCTTCTCTAGTATTTAACTGTAGTCTGCATCTTTACAGAGAAGTCCTTTTCTCTCTGAGCATAATTCCGAGTTTGTATATAGATAATACACAGTAAGGTCTAATTTCTTACACATTAAAAAAAAATTTCTTCAACATGAAAATGGTCAGCTTGAAAACAAACAAAATATAGATGTTGAAAAATTAACTTTCAGTTTCTGCTTCCCTTTGGTATTAAATGTTGCTTACAAAGGATTACAATCCCCTTTTTGTTTTCAAGGTGAAGTATTAGGTATTGATGTCTGCCTCCTGCCTTCCAAAGATGAGAAATCAGCTTCTGCAGGAAGGAAACACAGAATTAATAAAACCAAGGCAAAGAGAGCATTGGGTGGTGTGCTCTTTAAGTTCCCAGCCTCTAAAAAATTAACTATACATCCTGATTTTTATCTACATAAGGTCATGCAAAATATCATAAATACGAAAACTTCTCAACAAAGAGAAAGAACAGGAGAGAGGAAGAGGGCTACCTACACTTACTGCTTTCACAGTGTTCTTGAGATGCTCTCTGCTTACAGTGAAAGCATCTGAAATGATTATACTTTTTAACTTACCAAACTGGATTCTGAAGAAACTTTGCATTTGAAATGCAGGTTTGATAGAAGGAAACAAAAATCAAGAAAGTGCTTACTACATCAATGAACCTTTTTTTTTTTTTAAAGATTTTATAGTTAAGTAATGCTTACACCCAACGTGGGGCTTGAACTCACAACCCTGAGACCAAGAGTCACATGCTCCATGGACTGAGCCAGCCAGGTGCCCCAGTCAATGAGCCTTTTTATAAAACTTAAAATCCCATGAAAAGACTTCTTTCCAGCCAAATGAAATGCTGAAGTGTTAATTTTAAGAGAGACAGAGGTGGGAGGGAGGGGCAGGGAGAGGGAGAGAGAGAATCCTAATTAGGCTCCATGCCCAGCGCGTGCCCAACCTAGGGCTCGATCTCACAACCCTGAGATCATGACCTGAGCCGAAATCAAGAGTCAACGCTTAACCAACTGAGCCACCCAGGCGCCCCTGAAATGTTAATTTAGATTCTGATTTTGAAAGCTGTCTGTAGGGGCGCCTGGGTGGCTCAGTCAGTTAAGTGTCTGCCTTCGGCTCAGGTCATGATCTCAGGGTCCTGGAATCAAGCCCCACATCAGGCTCCCTGCTCGGTGGGAAGCCTGTTTCTCCCTCTCCCTCTGCTGCTCCCCATGCTTGTGATCTCTCCAGCATGCTCTCTCTCTCTGTCAAATAAATAAATAAAATATTAAACAAAAAAAAAAAAAGCAAGCTATCTGTATTTACTTCCGTGTGTTTAAAATTCTAGGCATTGAGATCAAGAACTTTTTGATCTGCATTTCTCAAATAATTGACATTTTACTGATTAAATTTAGAAGGTATGTATAAATAGGTCAAATAAGAGAAAAGATTACAGGTCAAACAAATGCATGGCCTTGACTCTACATTATCAATGTTCCCAAGTTACTTATTAAATATCAAGGGAGAGAGAAGGGGAGATACACACAAAGGTGACTTACCTATGACCACAATGAACAGTGAAGCTGACTTTTGTTTTCTTCAATTACTAAGAAAGGCAGTTTTCTGAGCTGACTCTTCTGAGACTTCTAAGTTCTACAAAACAACTTCAAAATTAGTACCCAGGAGAGAAAAACTGGACAATACTTAAGACAATACACAAATATAGCAGAAATGCCTTTAAAACACCTTAAGGAATTAATGAAATACAAAGAAGTAATTTCATACAACTACCATCCATCCAGCAAAGAGGTACTGATTTCCTATTCGTGTGTGGGGCCCTTTTGGGTCTAACTGCCTAGTAGGAAGGCTCTGTTTGCTTTACCACGTATGTCATCTCTTCAACTACGGCAATCAGCTAATGCCCAAATATAACTGGCTCTTTGTCAGCCTTAATATGGACTATGTCGTGAACCCTTAATGAAGACAGTGGTCATCAGTAGGAATGAACAACTGTAAGTGCCACTGTTAATAAAGTCCCTACTAAGGGCTGATTAGCATTGTTAGTTGTTTCAGGAGATATTTTTTAAAAAGAAGAAGAAAAAAATAGGAAAGAGGAGAATGATACCTGGAAAGACACGGGTAGACGCAGGTGGTGAACTTCAGCTTGCAGGGTAAACCCACCTCCTCAGCCTCTTCCTCTTCCCCGTGGGGCCTGCATTTGAGCTCGGCTAGGGTTATTCTCTGGGCTTTCACTCATGCTGCTTCCTCTCTGCTCAAACAGCCTTCCTATGTATTTTATACCCGATGTATTTTATTTTATTCATTTAGAAACATTATTCTAATGGGAGAAGATATTTGCAAATGACCTAGTGGATAAAGGGCTAGTATCCAGAATCTATAAAGAACTCAACAAAATCAACATCCCCAAAATAAATAATCCAGTTAAGAAATGGGCAGAACACATAAACACACATTTCTCCAAAGAAGACATACAAATGGCTAACAGACACATGGAAAAATGCTCAGCATCACTCATCATCAGGGAAATACAAATCAAAACCATGATGAGATAGCACCTCACCCCTGTCAGAATGGCTAAAATTAACAAGTCAGGAAACAACAGGTGTTGGTGAGGATGTGAAGAAAGCGGAGCCTTTTGCACTGTTGGTGGGAATGCAAACTGGTGTAGCTGCTCTGGAAAACAGTATGGAGATTCCTCAAAAAGTTAAAAATAGAGCTACCCTACAACCCAGCAATTGCATTAGTAGGTATTTATCCAAAGGATACAAAAATGCTGATTCGAAAGGGTTCATGCAACCCATGTTTATAGCAGCACTATCCACAATAGCCAAATTATGGAAAGAGCCCAAATGTCCATTGACTGATGAACAGATAAAGAAGATATGGTGTATATATGTATGATGGAATATTACTCAGCCATCAAAAAGAATGAAATCTTGCCATCTGCAACAATATAGATGGAACTAGAGTGTATTATGCTAAGCGAACTAAGTCAGAGAAAGACAAATACCATACGGTTTCACTCATATGTGGAATTTAAGAAACAAAACAGATGAACATAGGGTAAGGGGAGGAAAATTAAAATAAGATAAAAACAGAGAGGGAGACAAACCATAAGAGACTCTTAACTATAGAGAACTGACGGTTGCTGGAGGGGAGGAGGGTGGGGGGATGGGCTAAATGGGTGATGGGCATTAAGGAGGGCACTTGCTGGGATGAGCACTGGATGATATATGTAAGTGATGAATCACTAAATTCTAGTCCTGAAACCAACACTACATTATATGTTAACTAACTTGAATTAAAAAAAAGAACACATATCAAAACAAACAAATATTACCCTAAAAGGGATCTATAGGGTTTATCAGCCTGCGATAAAAAAAAGTTAAGAACCCTGGCAGACAACACCAACAGTCTCAAAAAAGCAATGAGGATGTCCTGTCCCATGTACTTGTCAAAAGTCCAAATTCAGATTCCAGCTGAATCTCTCCCCATTCCCACCCCTCAAGTAAGTAGGAAGCCTGCTGTGGGGGAAGGTGACGTGGTCAGCTGTGCAGTGTTTTACTCTTTCTTTCCTTTTTTCTCTTTTTTTAAATTACTGGGGCTCTTTTTATTTTTATTTTTTTTTAAAGATTTTATTTATTTATTTGACAGAGAGAGACACAGCGAGAGAGGGAACACAAGCAGGGGGAGTGGGAGAGGGAGAAGCAGACTCCCTGCCAAGCAGGGAGCCCGATGCGGGGCTCGATCCCAGGACCCTGGGATCATGACCAGAGCCGAAGGCAGACGCTTAACGACTGAGCCACTCAGGCGCCCCTACTGGGGCTCTTTTTAAATGGTTACTACACTGACAGAAAATAAAGATAACATGTTCTTACTCCCATCCCCTTTTGTACATGTGAAGAATACCACAGAAACCTTTCAGTATCTCGCTTCTATTCACTTAATAATACATCCCAGAAGTATTTCCACATCCAAGATCTTCCTTATTCTGGTTAATGGCTCTGTAATATTCCATCGTGTAGACATACCATCACGACTCCCTCAGTTCTTTTTTGCTGGAGACCTGGATGGTTTCCGAACTTTTGCTATTACAAAGCAGTCCTGCAGTGAAAAACTTGTACCCGGGCCCCTTTGTACACATGTGGGTGTCCTCGTAAGAGAGATTCCCAGAGTGACACTGGTATGTCAAAGGGTCAGTTCCGCAATTTTTAGGCAACCGTACCAAGTTCCCCGGCAGAAGGTCTGAATCACTTCGTGCTCCCCCAGCGATGTCTAAGAGTGCACTGCAGAAAAAGGCTTTGAAATAAGACCCTTGTTCTCAGCACCAGATGGCAAAAAACGGTCAAGCAGACAGGACGCTCAGAACCTTATCCTGCTTCCATATTGCAAAAATTAAGGATTTTTAACCAATTATTTGCTTTCTCCTGTAACTAGCTATACCCAGTTCATAGGACCAGACGAAGCGAGTTGTAAAGTATTTTGCCAAGTAGATTTGTTTTGTTGTTTTAAAGATTTTGTTTATTTATTTGACAGAGAGAGAGACAGCGAGAGAGGCAACACAAGCAGGGGGAGTGGGAGAGGGAGAAGAAGCAGGCTTCCCGCTGAGCAGAGAGCTCAATGCGGGGCTCGATCCCAGGGCCCTGGGATCATGACCTGAGCCGAAGACAGACGCTTAACGACTGAGCCACCCAGGCTCCCCTCTTTGTTTTTTTAAAAGATTTTATTTATTTGAGAGAGAGAGAACGTACGAGCACGAGCAGGGGAGGGGCAGAGAGAGAGGGAGAAGCAGACTCCTCATTGGGCAGGGAGCCTGACTCAGGGCTCCATCCCAGAACCCTGGGATCATGACCTGAGCCGAAGGCAGACAGACACTTAACCAACTGAGCCACCCTGGCACCTCTAGATTTGTTAATTGTTTTTGCAACATTTCCAGAATTAGTTAATAATCTTCTAGAAAATTTATTACATCTGAAGCCAATATTTTTTCCAACTAATTCCAAATGATTATCTGATTCTGGCTATGGGATGTTAAGTAAGAGATTTAATCACTTTTCCTTACCAATAAGATGAAAGGTTGAGATTACGTACCTCTTCTGGGTCTTTCTAGCCCAAAAATTCTCTTAAACCAATTTTTCATCAACGTCAATAGTTTTAGCATGTTTTCAGTCTACAGCTGAGGTTACTGTTTTGTTTTTTTCCTATCATGTCCATTCTAGGTATTTACTGAGCAATCTCCGTAGCAGATACTGTGTGTGCTACAACTGGGAATGCCAAGATGAATAAGAGGGGCTCCTGAAGGTGCTCACAGAGAAGAGGAAGATGAGCATGTAATCTGTCATGCACTGTGATCTGCATGTTCACAGAGACACATGCACAGACACAGATACATATAACCGGGCCACGGCCACGAGGACAGAAGTGAAGGAGCTCTCGATTTTATCTCAGATAGGAATTTAACATAAAGTCCTACAGAAGAGGTTAAGAGCCTGAGGCCATAAGAATGAGTAGGAGTCTGTCAGGCAGATCATATTGAAGGACGGTCAGTTCTGTTATAACAGTTGTTTGGAAAATATGAAGATGTTCCGACATAGCCGATATATTAGGGAACAATTTGGGCATAATGTGAAGTTTGCATTTATTCACATGCAACTTTGTCCACGAGAAACACTAGGTAAACTATACCCAGCTGGACTGAGCCACGGCATGCAGGAATACATACATCCACATGCACCCCTCAAACATCCGCTGGCCCCCCAGCTTCCCCGGTGTGTTATAAACCACACCCACCCACATTTGCTGCTACAACTTCCCAGCAGATTACCTTCCTGCCACTTCCCAGTGAATCACAAGCTGCCATCTCCCTGACACCCAATTCGACGTGCAAACTTCAGGTCCCTTTCCAGATAAAGTGCCATATTTATTGCAATATTTATGTATTTCTTAACCACCCAACAGGTATAAAAAGTCCTACCATTTTGATTACATTCCTGTCCTTTTTAATAAAAATGTATCATTGGCAAAGTGAGTGTTATGCTCCTAACCCCATTTTTCCTGTAAGCTGTACAGTTTTGCACTGTGTGGACATATTTAGGAATCCATAAGTTGTATTACAGAAGTAATGTGGTTATCAAAATATTAAACAAGGCTGTGATATAATAATATGCACCCTTTTTTAAGTTTTAAGTAATCTCTACACCCCATGAGGGGCTCGAACTCACGACCCCAAGATCAAGAGTTGCACACTCCACCGACTCAGCTAACCATGTGCCCCTTGCACTTTTTAAAAGATTTTATTTATTTGAAAGAGAGATAGCATGAGCAAGGAGAGGGAGAAGCAGGCTCCCCGCTGAGCAGGGAGCCGACGTGGGACTCAATCCCGGGACCCTGGGATCATGACCTGAGCCGAAGGCAGACAGAATCTTAATAGACTGAGCCACCCAGACGCCCCTGTACCCTTCTTTTTTTTTTTTTAAGATTTTATTTATTTATTTGAGAGACAGAGAGAGAGAGAGCATGAGCTGGGGGAGTGGCAGAGGGAGAAGCAGACTCCGCGCAGAGCAGGGAGCCCGACACGGGGCTCGATCCCAGGACCCTGAGATCATGACCCAAGCATAAGGCAGACGCTTTAA